CTTGGCATTCTATCAGGCTCGTGTAATTCCTGCACCACTCCACGTAGGACCCCATAGCAAGGTGATACATAATGAAAACCTTTTCTAAGCCCTGAATTCAGTTGGTCCTCCCCAATCACAACTCACCCATCAAAATGATCTTTCTCCACTTTTTCACCAAAAAACAAAAACAAATACAGCGAAACAATAACACACTCTCTTCAAAGAAGAAACAAAGAAAAAAACGACAAAAGCTCTACCATTCCCACTCCTAGATCTCACAGATATTGAAAGAAAGTTATTTTATAGTCTTAAACTAATTCATATTGTAAATCAACTTAGCCAGGTGTATTCCTTTTTTACTTTAGCTTATTGATTTATAGGTTATATATATATATATATATTTTGTTTGTTTGTTTGTTTGTTTTTAATTGTGGACTATTCAACTAAGAGGTGAATTGCAGTCAGTGTAGGTATGTAGGTTAGGGAATTTTTGACCGAAGAACATTTCTGGCATTATTTAACTCATGAAATGTAGATTTGGTTTTCCACTTTTTTTGTTTGTCTGAAAAAAATGTTTTATCTTTTCATTCTACTAGGTTTTTCTCTGCTTTGGTTGCAGTCTTCCCATAGAGAGAGACTGTGTGTATATTTCATTTCTTCAGAATATAATGTGCATAGTATTTGCTACTGGCTAGAAATCTTCACTGTAAGGAAAATATATCTTTATAATACTTTTCTCAGCAGATTATATTTCAGTAGTGAAACACCCACATTTCTAATTCATTTGCAATCACGAGCTTACCCATCACCTCTTAAATGGAGTAAAGGTTGTTTTTTATGTTGAGTTTAATAAGTATTATATAGGACATGTTGCTGTCTTAATGAATATAATATTTTTGTAAATGTTATTGGATAACTTTTCTAGTTTTTCTCTATTTTTAAGCATGCATTCCAAAATGCACAACCAAAAGTTAAAGACATTTTTGGTTCCAATTCTCAGGTTTTTATTTCTCATGAAGACTTAATTTTTCCAGAGTTTCTTAGGCATACTGCACCGTGATTTAAATGTTCATAATACTGTGGTACAAAGATTAATACATTATTTTTTAAATGAAAATGTGAAGAACAATTAATTTACCATGGCAATGACTTTCCATTGCCAGCAAAATTCATTAAACTTTTAATTTTTTAAACTGTATAATTTCTATTGCAGAGCACTTTGAAAAAGTAATAATTTATTGTCATAAACGTTGATTTTTTTTTTACTTATTTTTATTTATTTATTTTTTTATAAGTTGGATTAAAAGTTTCTTCATCATGTTTTCTTCTGGGTAACCATTACTAGGCCTCTATTTTCTACTTTTATATTTTTGTTGTTAATTGCCAGATTTTTAATAGCTTTCTAACTCTCCTTATATTTGCTGCTTCCGTCTAGCTGTTTGATTCCTCTTATTGCTGAATGGATTAGTTAATACATGAAATAGCATTTTGAAACAACAGTTGAGCATTATTCTGTAATAAAACCAAAAATCTGATTATGGCTCAGGACTCCCTACCAGCTCCATTTGATGAGACAGCATGGGTCAAGTCAGCAGAAAGTCCTAGAAAATCCACAGGCCTGGCTCAGGACTCCCTACCAACTCCATTTGATGACACAGCATGGGTCAGGTCGGCAGAAAGTCCTAGAAAATCCACAGGCCTGGCATCCCATCAGGGTCTGTCTAATAAGATATTTTGAAATAGAAGGCAGCTTGCTATGACTAGTTGAAAGACTGCTGCAAGCTTGGATTGACATCAGGTCTTTTCACTGCCTCAGATAATCAAAGAATCTGTGTAAAACAGTTTCTCTTATTGACTGCCAGGCCAGGCAAAGAACCTTTCCACCTGAGGTCAACTCTGCCACCTTCTCTTAGGCCATACTGCTACCTTCAGCCCATAGAATTTCATGAATAGAAAAAAAGATTTCTAAAAATAATTTTAAGGCTAGATATGTGTCTTAATGTTATGCTTATATTACATCCTATTCTATTATAACACAGTTCTACAGATGTGCACTGAAGAGTATGCTGTTTTTGCCTTTAGCCAGAGAAAGGACCAAATTTAAACAATGCCTGAGAAGGCAGTTACTGCATGTTGTGATTGGGAGGTTTCTCCAGTCATCTGTCACAATGCTGAAATTTTATCATTAGAGATCCATTTCTCTGGAGGAGCTCTAGGTTGGACAGAAGGCTCTGATTGTAGCCATGAGCACTGTTACCTGAATTATTATATGATGTAACTTCTAGTCGAAATTTTGACTGAAAAAAAAAAAAGGAAACAGTTTTTGAATTAGAGTACAGGGCAGGATTTTGATCACTGATATTGGGTAGAGTATTTTAATAGAAATAGATTAAATGTTGGTTCAAATAATGTTCCATCCTATTCTGACACTTTTAATACCAAAAATACTTATAATAATAATAGGGAGATTAATTCTCCAAAAGATACACATCTGAGTAGTGGTGTTCTTTTTTTTCTGATTTTGTTTGCAAATCCATTTTTGTCTGACTGCTTGAACTTTTCTATTTCACCCATTAAAAACCTTTCTTATATCATTTATTCAGTCACAAACAAAGCTATTGGGCTTTATTCTAGGAGCTGGTATTGAGCAATGAACAAGACAGCCATAATCCCTGACCTCATTAGAGCTTATAGTATGATTTAAATGCACACAATTAATGTGAAATTACGATATGGTGTGGTACATGCAAAGACAAAGCATAAGAGAGAATATAAGAATTATAAGTACGTGATGTAATGCATATGTTAAAGAGCTTAATTTAGCCATTCCATAGCATATTCATATATCAAAACATCATTTTGTACACCATAAATATATACACTTTTTATTTGTCAAGTAAAAAAAAAAATTAAAAAGAATTCAAAGCGGAATGGGAGAAGTATCTTCCTGAATTTAGAGGGTGTCAGGCATAGCCGCCTTGAGGAAAGGTTCACATTTCTGAGGCAAGACTCAGAGGATAAATGTAAAATAGCCAATAAAAGGAAGTTGGGTATGAGATGGTTCCAGAAAAAGAGAACAGCATGTTTAAGCAGAAGAATCAAGAGGGACATCGTGTATGTTAGGAAATGAAAATTAAAATTCTTCTTGGCTAGAGCAAAGAGTAGAAGAAAGCAGAAGGTACTATTGAATGAAGGGACTTTTAAGCCATATTAAGGAATAAGGCTTTTATCCTAAAGAATATAAAGAATCCCTAGAGGATTTTAAGCAGAGAACCATAATTTTATTTTTGAGAGAACACACTGGAGTGGCTGTTCAGGTGGATTGTGGCATAGTAAGGTGCCAGCTAAGAGGCTGGTCCCATAATTGAAGCAAGATATGATAGTGCCTTTAACTAGAGCAATAGCAATGGGGATAAAGAGAAAAAGATGGAATCAAGAAATATTTAGAAGGTATCAGAAAAATTGGTGTTTGACTGACAAAGTATATACAGAATGATGAAGGACATGATAGAGGAGGTAGAAATATCCAGAATTATACCTAACAAAGGCAATGGTTATTTGTATTTCACTGAAATAGGAAAAATAAAAACAGAGAAAGTGCAAAAGCAAGTTGGAAAGGTGAGAAGTAGGTGATAAGGGAACACACAATGAGTCCATATTTGGTAGTGTTAAGTTTTGGTGGCTGTAGGACATCCAAGTGGAAATGTCCACTAGGGAAATATATATGCAAATTTGGAAATGGGGAGAAATTCAGACTTGAGATGTAGAGTTGAGGGTTGTCAGCATGTGAGATGTAATTGAAACTGAGGGCGTGGGTAGAATGAGAATAAAGGAAAGCCTAGGACAAAACTGTGAAGAAATCAAGATTTATGGTACAGGGAGAAATACTGGGAAAGACTTTCTCCCCTCCTGCAGAATCACTACTTCCAGCTCCTTTTGCCTTGGTACAAATGCTTTTAGCTGTATTTTTATGTGACCAATGCTGTGTTTTAGATTGGCTTCATTGAAGAATAATGACATCTCCAATAACTTTTAAGCCTAAAACCCAGCATTTATACAGTTGATATAGTATTAAACATTCTGTATATAATATAAAAACCAAGATTATTTCTAAAACCCCAATTATGTCTTGTACCAGATAATCATACCTACACTTCGTATATTAAGGAAAGAATGAATCCCCAATAAGTTGCTTGCCCCAATCCTTTCTTTTATAACCACTCTTTTAAAGGTGAACAGGTCTTTGAAGGGAGACTTTGCAGTCTGTTCAGCATGCTATTTATACTTGAAAAGTGTTGAATTATCCTAATCATACTTATAGTAACAATCAAGATTAATTGCAGCTATATTAGGATTACTTATTATTTGTTCTACATCAGCAGTAACACAAATCCAATTGTACAAACAATTTCCATAATCCAAATTGTGAAATAAAGTAGGGGTGGGGAAAGACCATGCAAAACTGATTGAAATAGTATTCAAAATAAATCCTTAACCAGATGGTTATCGAAAATTCTCTTTTTGAAAAGGAGCTGATTCTGAACAGATTGTATATATGTCTCACTGGTGGAAGTGGATTATCTGTCTTGAATTGGATTGTGATGACGATGACCCTATTCTAAGTAAACCAAATCTCTTGAACTATATAATGAGATCAGGAGGAACATTCAGCTGGAAAACGACAGATTGCAATGACTGAGATGATTTTGCTAATGTTTTTTCCAGCCTTTTTCCTTTATGCACATCATACTGTACTTTTTTCCTGCAGAGATCCCTGATCCTGTAGTTCTTTATGCTGATTCTTTTTTTTCTTTTTCTTATATATATATATATATATATATACATATTTTTTATTATTATTATAAGAAGAGCTGAATGAGTGGCAGGAAGCTGCGAAATCTATCTTACAAAAAGGTGCTTTTGAAAGAGTCTAGAATATTCATTTACTGTGCAGCAGGATTGCAGTAAAACTATCAAAAGTGTACATCTGATTCACTTTTATTTCCTCTTCTCTTTAGGCCGTAAGGAGGCAAAAGTTGCTTGAACAGAGTATCCAGTCTGCCCAGGAGATCGAAAAATCCTTACACTTAATTCAGGAGTCCCTCGCATCCATTGACAAGCAGTTGTCAGCTTATATTGCCGACAAAGTGGACGCGGCTCAAATGCCTCAGGAAGCCCAGGCAAGTACAACTAGTAATGAGCTTCTGTTCTGTTTTTATTACTGGAACAAGAGGGTGCTGAGTTTCTCACTTAAAGTTTATTCGACTAATTGTGTAGAGGAGTTGTTTAGATTGACTGATTTGACTATTTGGAAGTAAGAGGGAAAAATGGGTGTAGATTAGTACTCTAAGAGTTATTTTTGAAAGTTATGTAATAGAGGAATTGAAAATAGTGACACTTGAAAGGCAGGAGCACCGAGATCTCGTGTGTATCAACATTTTAAAACTATACTAAAGCTAGGTGGAAACCATAGAAATGTAAATGGTAAAGAAAAATACTTTTTATGGTACTAGTGAGAAGCAGTGTCAAACATTTTCCTAGCAACTCGTCTTTGTTATCATGGAATCACAAGTAATATGGTCACTATATTCCTCATGGATGTGTTGAAAGTAGTTAATACACAAAATTAGAGAGATAAATTTGCATCGTATTACTAATGATCATGCTGGATATACTCACACACACATGCCGTCAACTCTGCATTTAATCTGAATTATGAAATGTGTTTAACCAATTTCCCTAAAATGAGAGATAAATCTAATGAAATTAAATCTAAGTTGACTTTAAAATAAAAACGTGTAGGCCAGATCTCAATTTGCTTTCACCTTGAAAAATATTTTTAAAATGCTGAGTTTATTTTTGAATAACATTTTAACGTAAAGCACAATAGGTATTATTTACTTAAATGTCTTTAGGATTGTATGATAGGAAGGTAGTGTAAATATGTTTCAAATTTTACGTGCATATTATGAATACTGTAACCAAGCATAACTTAAACTTACATGCTATGATGTGAGGGGCATGAGGTTAAATCTACAAATCTCAAAGACCCTCTCCCAACTGATTGTTGGAGCTATATGAAGTTTTTTGCTTTAAAATCAATTTGGGGGTAAAATATTGGATTTGCAAATCACGATTACGGTGCAATAACAGTGTTGTGAATCACATTTGAATTTGTGCCCAGAGCATCAGTGCGCACAACAGTATGGGTTAATTTACCATATTGTTTAAATTTGACCAGGAAAGTCCCTGAGAATGAGAGGCAGAGTACAGGTAGTTTTGATAGGCTTAAAAAGTCCCAAGCAAAGGGGTTCTATGGAATGCACACCATTGCAATAAGGCATGAAGAAAGAAAAGTTTAGGGGAGCATCCTCATTATAGTTTTCCACTAGGGCAATGAGTAAATACTGTAGTGAAAATGGGAAATAATAGTAAACATATCTTAGGATTTTAACTTCCTCAGTATATACACTTTTTCAACAAATCTAGTCTAGTTCTCCAGCATTCACTATCCTAAGACCTTCCCAATTTGAGTCACATAGAAAATTTTATAGGCAGGCTTTAGTAAAATGCATTATAGAAATAAAACTTGTTCCTGAATCTAAAAGAACTACATGATTATACACTAAATGCAGAGTAGAACTGCTTTATTTTTTAAATTTGGCAACATGCCCTTGGAGAAATGTTTGATTAAATAATGCTAATAACTTTCTGAATGGAATTAAGAAAACATTTGAACAGTATAAATACTAAACATTAAAACAATACATTTTTACTTTAAAATATATAAAGAGTTGCTTTTTGAGGCATTCACAATAAAACTATGAGTAGCAAATTTGCAATAAGCAAAAGCTATTACTGTCTTAGAAGAAAACTGGGGGTTTTAAGGGGAAAAAAGTCTCGTTTAATTGAAAAGGTATAATATGGGACCCTGTGTGTTTTCTTTCATTTAGATACAAATGCAAGATTTTATAAACATGAAGGTCATATATTAGTTTTAAGTAATACATTATAAAGTATTTTGTTTGGCTCTCTTAAATAAAAGCTATAGTAAAAAGTATTACTAACTATAGCAGTTGAAAAGTATGTGCAAATAACAGCACACAGGTAAATTAAGAATTTTCAAATCTAATTCAAGAAAGAGATTTTAAAGTACTAACAAGCGCAAATCCATTTTCCATGCATTTCTGGTTGCACCTGCATTTTCAAGATAATTCTTGACATTGAATCCCCTCAGTGATAATGTATAATATTGGAAAATGCAAGTCCCCTGAAGGCTATTGAAACATTCTTCTTCTTCAAGATTTTATTTTAAGATGACAGCAAGTGAATTGTTTTCTGGAACAGAGTTATCGAGCACTCCGATTTACTTCAAGGATTACATTTCCTGAAGCTCAATTTGAAACTCCCATGAAAGAAAGAAGTAGAGAATAAAGAGGTTGTCTGTGAAATAAGAACTTAAGCACAATGTGTCAGAGGATTTACAAAGAATGTAACCAAAATGACATTTTTCAAAGTGTGTGTATGTGTGTGTGTGTATGTGTGTAATGGGGGTTAATTTTAATTTGAATGCTTTGTCTTAACAAAAAAAAGAAATGTGTTTCTTTACATCTGGGTAAAAGTTCATTGCTAATTAAAAGGTCAGTGGGTTCTGCTTTCCCTTTTCAGAAATTGCGTAGTTATTTTAATTCATCACTGAGAAGCAGGACAAAATGAAAGGTGTTACCATATATAGTACACTTTTTAAATGTATGCTCAGATTTTCTGTCAATTACTGGTCACACTGATTTGTGGATGTCTGACTCCACCGTGTGGTGCACTGATAGTTTTGCTACTGAATTTAAGTCTGTTAATAGAACCTTCATTTTTCGCATTTTAAGATTCGCTGAAATCCTCAGATATAAAAACTTCGCGATACTGGTATTAAGGAAATGTATGCCATGTGTTTAACTTTCTGACAGGTATACTCATTACATATAAAAGTAGCTGAAGATGAAGATAATTCCTTTTTTTCACATTTGCATTTATAACTATAGGGCAAAAAGCTTCCCACTTGCTCAGCATGTTAATCAGTTATCTATCATGATAAGAAATCTGGGCCCTCTGATTCTGAATTGGATTGAAAAATATTTTACTTTTTAATTTAGTAACATAAGCTTCCAAAACTGAAGCTTAACCTGTTAGATAGTAAAACTACATACCACAAGTATATCAGAGAATATGTTGAACTATTGGTATTTTATTTCAAAAAATAGCAATTAACCAAATCACAATCTTAAATTGTACGACCACAGTGTCAACTTCTCAGTGGCAGCCCATTTATAGAGATTGTTTTTTTAAAACTACAAAATTAAGATGGCATCTTATTGATTCAAATAGTATAGAGCAAATTGGGAAAACCTTTCTAGATATAGAAATGTATCTTCTAGATATAGAAACCAGAAATTTAAGAACCATTTCAAAAATACTATGATTAAAAATACAAAAACCCATATGTTCTTTGCAAGAATTTTAAAAATAAAATCGCCAACTTGTATAGCTGCAAATACACACATGGCATGAATTTAGTGGTTTATCCCTTAATTTTCCAGAACAATATACTGAAACACAGAATTTTGGTTTTGGTACCTATGATCTGGTAGCAAAAATTCAATTATCCAAGATGCACCCCAGACCAATCAAGTCAGAATCTCTGAGTGGACTCAGTCGTTAAAATTTTTAGAAACTCTCTGGTTTATTCCAGTGTGTAGCTAAGGCTGAGAAAGGCTTTGGATAATGCATTACTGGTAATGGCTGAATTATTTCAGTCTTTTTTTCATATCACCTTTCTCCCCATTCTTATAAAGATTCTCACTTATGGCTGTGTTAAGATTTCAATGAAAGTGAGTAAGAGTGACAAAGTACTGGTGACTTTTTCTCCTATTTTGATTGTCCCCTCAGTCTTATGGAAAGTGGGTGCAAGGCAAAATATATTCCTGAGAACTAAAGCACAAACTAATTAGACAAATAGAATTTTCAATATGGATGTTCGAAGCTGAACTCAGCTTGATTTTCTTGTTTTTACTTTTTAAATTTCACATATACTAATGTTCCAATTAGCTTGGATGTGCCTCTCAATCTTCTTAGGGGCCAGTGGTAACTATGTTTAATAGCTACTTAAATGGCTGTCATTCTTAAAATTGCAAAGATACTTCAAAGCACACTTTTTTTTTCCTTTTTCAGTAATTTCAGTTTTTGTATCTTAAATATGTGAGAACAACCCAACATGGGTACCTTTTGAAATTCTCCATGTCATTATGTGAGATAACCACAAGAAGCAGTGGAGTTGCCCAGCAGCCTCATGTCCCACAAAGTAGATTTATATGCACAAAGAGAGGAAATAAAATTGAAGAATTTAGAAAGCAAATTATCATCAAAGTAGAGGGTCTCAAAATCAAAAATAGAAAAGTGTTACTATGTTTTTCTCACAAAGATGGAACTTTTGGGTGTTTCAGCTTTAACTACAGATCAGATTTCTTCCTTCTACCTCTTTTTCTCTCTCATTAACAATGTGGTAAAATTTAGTATCAGTGAATAGAGAACAAGAATCTTCTACTTTACCAAAGAAAGCTGGTAAGTTAATTACATTAGGTACACCAAAAAAAAGTTCATAATAAGGTCTTGCTGTGTTTATTGGAGAAGCTAAATCTAACTCACTTTACATAGGTTTGGTTATATTTAAATGTAAACATTCCAAACTATCAAAATCAATGGCTTAAAAACAAGGAACTAAATGCAGATTATGGTCTGTCAGATTGAGTTTATGATTTCATTAGGGAATAAAAGAGACTTTTATAGCATACATATGCATATTCAATTGCCAAAGGACTCAGAACAGTCTAAATTTACAGCCTATTTACTGATTTATGAATAAGATAGCATAAACTTGCATAGGGGAATTCTTTCAGTATTTATGTGATAATTCAACGATTAAACCAAAGAAGGAAAAAATGGAGAACTAGTCTAGAGATTTGGGCTCAAATGTTAAAATCCATACAGCCATAGCAGAAATAATTTCTTTTTCTTTTTACCAGAAAAGTAGATATAATGGTAAATTCAGTGCAGTTTATTTTTAAATCTGTTGAAATGCTACCCATATGTGTCACTATACATAACTGATTATTTCCAATTTAGAATGACT